TGGATCCTGTTTGTCACCCAATCCGGCGTTCGCGAACGGAAGCAAAATTTTGTGAACGGAGCTGTTCGTGACCCGAATTGGTCATGAACAGAAGCGTTCGTGACCCGAGGTACCACTGTATCTTGTTCCTCAGCCTTTTCTAATGCTACATTTGCCATTTCCCTTTCCATGTATGGCTCTAATCTGCATTGGATGGTCCTAAACATTATTTGATAACATGTGAAATTAAGTATATTGTGAGATTGTTTGCACATTCTGTTAAATTTCCTTTCTTTGGTATTGTATGTATACTGACGTCTTCCAATCATTTGGCCACTGTTTTCTTCTTCAGATTTGCTGGCATAATTTGGTTAGAACCTTTATTGATTCTTGCCATATTTTGAATATTCAGAGTGCTGATTTAACTTCATCTTCTAATACTTGAGGTTCTTGTAAATATATATTCTAAGGTATCTTGGATGTTGCCATCCTACCTTTGTTTGATCCTTTTTGAATCAGTTAGTATTTATCCCTTGGCATCTTTTAGCATCCTTTTTCAGGTTGGAACCTCATTCTGAGTTTAGACATCTTTTAGAAGACTTTCCTTGGATTTCCATTTCTATTTCCATCTTCAATGGCCTGGCATATTTTGCTGTAATACTGTTTGTATTACATTTCAATCATTGATGCCTAAGTTGTTAATGTGTAGTCAATTCATTTACTTTTTCACTGTGTTGAGTTTTCCCGTGTTCATAATTCTTACATTCCACATTCTCACTGTAATTGTTTTTTGCAGCTTCAGATTTTCTTTTCCTATATGGCCACATCAGCAACTAAATGTCTGGAAGGCTTTAATCTAACGAAGTCATAAATACCATTAGTATTCTGAAAGATCTTCAGATCTTTCTCTGTAGCGTGTTGAATGCCATCTGACTTAAGGGACCCATCATCTGGCATTATGTCACTATCTTGTTTATCCTTGTGGTTTTCTTGGTAAAATACAAGAGTGGTTTACCATTGCCTTCTCCTGTGCAGTATGAGATTACGCCTTTGCTGTTGTCACTAAAGTGATCATCTACCTCTGGCATCTCCCTGTATCGCTGCTGCCTGATATAGATAGCTGCTTGCTTTAGCTGGGCAACTGGGATGACGTCATGCCTTGGGTGACCCTACTGGAATTATATGCTCTTTGCATACATTCCCACTGTTCTTCACTCATCCCTCCCAGGAATACCCCTCCCACCACCACATAGCAGGATTTGGAAGGGAAGATCACAGTAGGGAAACAGTAAACTTGGGTGTAGGGAGGATTTAACTTCAATCCAATCAGCGAAGAGAAAACTGTGTCCCTGTATGCATGGATAGATAGTTATATGTATCTATCAAACACAGAATCAACCGAACACAGGGTAGAGCTGCTATTAAGGCCTACCTTGTGGCAATAAGGGTGGCAAAGCATCAGTACTTTTCTCTTATTACATCCACTGATAGCCACCCAGTGGCCCTGTTTAAGGTGACCAGAGCCCTCTTGGGTACAGGGGACTCTGGGGTGCATCTCTGGGCTGCATGGAGGATTTTGCAGAGCATCCATCAGATTCGTTCCATGATAGATGCTGCCCTTGGTACAGGTCCTGTGGGTGTCTAGCCATGTTATCTGGGAAGAGTTTGAAACTGTTGGACCTGAGGAAGTGGACAAGGTCCTCATGACTGAGCACAGCCACCTGCGAATTAGACTCGTATTCCTCCTGGCTGGTGAAGGCTACCTAAGCAGTAACGTGTTTGGGTACTGGCAGTGGTCAATTCTTCTTTGAGAGAGGGGGTGGTTCCTCTGCCCCTTAAAGAGATATCGGTCCACCTGCTTCTCAAGAAGCCATCACTAGACCCAGCCATACTGGACAATTTTTGTCCAATAGAAGGGGTTGTACAGCAGCTTCAGAGGATCCTGGATGAAACAGATTATCTGGACCCCTTTCAGTCAGGTTTGAAACCTGGGTATGGGACTGAAACAGCATTGGTTGGGCTTTTAGATGACCTCTGGCAGGAGTGGGATGGGGTAGTGCATCCATCCTCACTCTACTTGACCTCTTGGCAGCCTTCAGTACCATTGACCATAGTATACTTTTGGACTGGCTGCAAGGGTTGGAGGGTGGGTGACATTCTATTGTGCTGGTTCTCCTTCCTTCATGGCTGGTTCCAGTTGGTGTTGATCAGGAGCAAGATGTCCTGCCCTCAGCCCCTATATTGTGTGGTGCTGCAGAGTTTGGTAGTTTCTCCGCTCTTGTTTAACATCTACATGAAGCCACTGGTAGAAGTCATCTGTAGCCATCATCAGTATGGTGATGATACCCAGTTGTATCTCTGCCCCTGGTGAAGTAAGCATGCTGTTGACATCCTGTCTTGGTACCTGGAGGCTGTGGGGGTTTGGATGGGGAACAACAGACTTCAGCTCAACCCTGGTGAGCCTGAGTGGCTTTGCATTTTGTAGCCACTAGGACCTGAGAAATTACCATCTTTAGTTCTGGATGGGGTAGCACTGCTCCAGCAGACCCATGACTCCTCCTCGATGAGCAGGTGGCAGTCATGACTAGGAGGGCTTTTGTGCAACTTTGGGTAGTGCGCCAGTTGCGCCCATTCCTGGACCAGGAGGCCCTACGCTCAGTCACTCATGCCCTTGTCACTTCCCACATGGATTATTTTAACACACTCTACATGGGACTACCCTCGAAGAGCATCTGGAAGCTCCAGCAGGTGCAAAATGAAGTGATGTGGGCAGTACACTTTACGCCTCTGCTCTATGAGCTGCACTGGTTACCAGTTTGCTTCTGGGTTCAATTCAAGGTGCTGGTAATAACCTATTAAGGCCTACATGGTATGGGGCCAGGTTATTTGAGGGACCATCTCTCCCCATTCATATCAATTCATCTCATCAGATCCAGCAGAAGAGGCATGTTGCTGGTCCCATCAATGAAGGACTGTCATCTGACAGGACCCAGCAGGAGGCCCTTTTCTGCAGTGGCACCCACCCTCTGGAACATCATTCCCTCTGAGCTCAGATTGGCCCCAACCTTGCTGGTCTTCCAGAAGGGCCTGAAGACATGTTTTTGTCATCCAGCCTGGGGATCTGATAAAGTGGGTGTGGAGCCTGCAGAGTGGCTGCATTGTTAGGAAAACGAGTGCACCGTCCTGCAGGTTATATTTTTATGGTTTGTAATGGTTTGTATTGTTTTTAGTGTTTTTAAATTAATTTTCCTGTTATGTTTTTTTAGTTACTTTGTTCTATTGTTTTTGTGTTTTTACCTTTGTACACCACCCAGAGTCATGTATGTGAGATGGGTGGCCAAATAATTTAACCAAATGAATAAATAAATAAATCTAGTCTGGTAGGATATGGGTATGTGTTTATCAGAGGGATGGGAGGAAGAGGAAGAGGGAGTGGGAGAGGAATTTTCTTGGCTCCATCCACCAATTGTCCAGTGCCAGGCCTAACAATTTGGAAGCTGTCAAAGGACTCTCGAGTCATTAATGTTTTCACCCCTGGAAAAATGTTACCCGCCCTTCTCATCCCATCAGTCCTAAATTTACTGAGGAATTTTAGCAATCATAGAATTAAGAGGAAAGGTGCTTTTATAGATCCGGTTGATAAAGAACAAGAAGCACGACTGACACACAATTTATGATTAATCGGAAAATCTACTAATGGGAGCTCTTGTTGCTTATTGTCCTGTATGTTATTGGGTTGGCTTAATCCCTTCTGCGTTTGTGTCAATCGGTACACTAAATGTTTCTGGGTCTTCCCTTCCGCAGGTCAAAGAAGTTGGCAGCCCTTGCCGAATGCATGCAGAAAGCAGGGCTTAGTAAGGAGAGATTAGGTTTCGAATTAGATGATCTGGAGAGAGCAGCACTTCTGGTACAAGAGGAAGAGGAAGAGTTAAAAGCTACTGACGCAGGCGATTCTAAGCAGCAGCTGCTGCCTCTCTGCCAAGAAGCAGCGAGTGAGTCTGAGGACTCAAGCAGCACTTCATCATACGAGACAGGAGACTCTGATTCGGATGAACAAGAGTCCTCAGCCAGTGAAGATGGGAAAATAAATCCTTTACAACGCACACTCCAAGAGGAGAGGACAGCCCCACTTATTGACAATAATGGATTAAGGCGAGACACAGGCACTTTGACACTGGAGGGTAGCAATGAAAAATCAAAGGCTTCTCTACAGTCTACATCTGTTTCTGGAAAACTGATAGAGGAATTAGAAAAGCAAATGCAGACAGCAGTAAGGCTGACGGAGCAGCCTACAGCTTCACCTTCTCCCAGAGGTGAGGGCCAGGACTGCAGCAGCAGCGCTTTGCAGGAGATGGGGACCAAGTGCACCGCTCAGCCTCGAGGACATTCACTGGATCATAATTAAAAGGAACATTTCTTGGAGGTGACTCCAAAGTTTTGGGGATTGCAGATGCAGCTTCTTAGACAATAATTAGGGAGAATTGGTTAATATATGGAAGCAAAATAAGTATTTTTTTAAATATGGGTGTCCTTCATCAAAACCCTTCATGAGAGATGGGGACAAGGTTGTACTAAATATATAATAGTAATCCCATCTAATTAAGTTCTGATGCCTAGCCATAAGAAGTTTCTGTAAGATTTTCTGTAATCTTACATTACATTAGTTTAACTGCATTAGAAAAGTATGATTACACATGGAAGGAGGTTACTGGTTTCTAAAAAAAGGATGCTTAAATATGTTTGTATTTTAAAACGAATTTCATTAGCAGCTTTTGAAATGTTATTCAGTATTAATATCTTGTTTATTTGCTTCTAAATATTTTGAGGTGCCTGTGCCTGAGTAGAACAAGTAGAAAACCTTGTAGATTCCAGGTACTTGCAAGTAGTAACTCTGACTTTCAAGATGATTTGTACATGCAGCATATTCATTACCTGTGCAGACTGATGGCACTAATATTTCCCAGTACTGAATTCTGTGGAATTTACTGAGGCTTACTGGCAGGCACTAACAGGGAAGAAATTGGGTCAATTAAGATTTTACAGTGAACCTACCTAATTTTCAATTCTTTAAACAATACACAAATTGGAATCCAGCTGTCCCTCAATATTTATCTTTATGCAAATTATGCAATGCAATTTTCCTATCAAAAAATTGAATATAAATGCATAAATTAGGTTGGTTGTGTTTGTGTGTATATGCTTAGATATATCATAAATTCTGCATGACATATATCAAAAGACTGTATTGTGGTCATTAACCAGCACAGAGGAAATCAATACATGAATATCCGAAGCTGAATCAACAATATCAGAATAGTTAGGAGAAATACATATAAAGAATTTTGACTAAAAACAATATTAAAAACAGCTAAGATACTTGTTCTAGCTACACATGTGTGACAAAAGAGAAAAGGGATTAGCATATATTCACTTTGGACATATAGTAAAAAAAAAAAATCCATATTACCTTGTGTATATTAGGATAAATGAGAATTTAAATACAAATAAATTCGTACCAATTTTTGCTAAAAAGGCAATAATGCAAAAATAAGATTAACAAACTTAAAAACTGGGGTGGTGGGAAATCAAAACTCATAGAAACCAAAACTGATAGGTTTCTATCCATCAAAATGCTTATTTGTGAAATGTGACTAAATTTAGCTATGTTATTTTAGAGTATACAACATACATTTCATTTCTGATTATTAAACATTTGATTGCAGATTATCTGTATGCTACTGGTCTGTGGCTCAGCTGGATAAAATATGATTCACTGGTTAGAATGCAGGTCTGAAATGTAGGGAATGTCCCTTAGTTGTAATTATGCCTGTGGCTTAACAAAAGATGAACTGTGACTGAAGAGCAGAGATCAGCATTTTTCATTTAAGGTTATATGCCCCAATCATGTGTTCTTCACCTCATTATGCTACTAATAGGCAAAGCTGCATTTTTTCATTTGCATCCAGGAGGTACAATAGACACATCCATTATCATGGGTATAATTTGGCATCCTGAACTATAAGGAACTGTTTCGTATTATTTGAATTCTTTCACAATGTCTTTCCACAGTGATTAGTGATAATATAATAAACTGCGCAGAAAATACACCTAAAACACCCACTTGGTTAACATGTCTAGTTTGTGCAAATTTGAAAATAAAACTGAGGAGGTATCATGTATACTACTGCCCAAGCACTGGAAATCATATGGCAAAAGGTAAGTGGCCCATTATTCACTTTCAGCCTGCCATTTGCCTGTGGCAGGCAATGAAGTGTGCTTGCTCCCTGAGAATTGACTGTTATGTTGATGAAAATGGATCTCCTTATTCTATCCTTTTTCCTACATCAGCAAAATTGTTACCTCAGTCTGACTTTGTTGTGACTTTAGATGTTGACTTTTTCACCCGCTCTCCCAATATTTAGGAATGTCCACTCCTCAAAGAGAACAATGGCTTTCACTTTAAGTGTTAGAAATATATAAAACTTCAGAGTTCGTTTCTGTCTGAATTATTCTTTAGGCATGGCATAAGGCTGCCTCTGAAAATAGCATATTATGCTCAAGTGTTTCCTTAAAATAACAACACCTGAATGTGCTTCTCTACAATAATTAGTAACAATTATGCCATGACATCATAATAACACTCCTTCCATATAAGCCCCAAAATAGGTTTAACAAAAATATTTTAAAAAAGAGCACACACATCAGAATCCCTTCAAAATCCCATTAAATCTCATTCCTACTTGTGTGTGGCTTTTACCCCAGCCTCCAATGTTAACTACAGCCCTCTCAGCTATCAGAACATTGTCAATCTTTGGTTTAGATGATTTTTTTCCCCTTAAATTTACTTATTTAAAACATTTGTAAAACTATTTATAAGGAAAAAACATGTTTCTCTTCATTATGCCTCCAGTTCCTATTAACCCCAGTGAGGCAGATGTAATAATTAATTACATCTATAATAATTATTATACTATAATAATTAGTAAACTAATACTTCTTAACAAAAATAAAGTTGTGGCACCTTAAGATTAATTTATGATCATTTAAATTTCCATGGATTTCAGTGCCACTAAAGTCATCAGTTGGTTGTTTTTACTATAAAAGATTTACCATGGCTATCCTTCTGGAAAGAATTAACAACAGTACTGTGTATATTACACAATATAGAGAGAAGTATTTCCATTGCCTGGAATTTAGCTTCATTAAAAATGTGTCAGAACAGTAACATCTTCTGAAAATGCTGTGACTTTGAGCTGGCTTCTAAAAGCCCAAGGTTAGATCAGTTAACAGTTAAACTTTCATGTTAATAAATAAGAATCCTTTACAGATACTTTATAAATACATACCTAATCTGAGGTGATAATTTTGCTAGAAAAGAGCAAATTGGTCTGAGAAGTGGAATCAACAACCATAGGAAATAATAGGTTTATTTTAACTTGAATACCATAGCCGCTCTGCCTCTGCATAGCCTGAGTGGAGGCACTGTTTATTATTAATCAACTATGGAAAAGGGGGGGGGGGAATCACAGAATTAGTCTTTATGTTTGGTTCTCTGTGTTTGGCAATTGACTTTATGCAATAAAACAGAATGCTGGTTAGATTGACTATGAAGTCATGTGAGGGTCAAATAGTAATCCTTTCAAATGAGATACTGTGCCAAATCAGTTGTGTCTCAGTGTAAACAGAATGCTTTGTCAATTCAGATTATCCAATCCTGACTAAACTTTCAGGGGGAAAGGGCCTTCTGAATGGTACCCCACACTCTTAAAATGCTAGAAAGAGTAATGTGATAGATTAGTTTTTACTTAACTTTGAATCTTTCTCTCTTGTCCTTGGAAGCTATGTAGAGTTTACTTTAGATCAAGTGAAGGTAACACTGATGAGGTTCTGATTGCTACAATAAGTGATGAATGTTCCAGGGCAATTGATTCATAACTTCGGAGTGAGTGGGCTGTGCGGTTTGCCACCACTGACAGAGCTAAATGTTTTTAAGATAGTGCCTCAAGGCTGAAAAAAACGGGAAATGCGGGTTAGACAGATAAATGGGCTGGCTCTTTAGAATGGACCATGGACGTGGTTTGTTTTGCAGATAAGGCAGGACACCTTCAAAGCAGCCCAAAGATAAGGCTAAGGAGTGGAATGAATGTAGAAGGATATTGTTATCAGGAGCCTTTATCATCTTACCACAGAAGAATATTCAATGGGGTTGAGGGAGTTGAATATTTTAGACAAAGCATTTTAAATTGGCACTCTGTTGGCCATGTTAATATCATGGAGTTCGGTGCCATTTGGCACCTGGTCTATACAGAGATGCATCTGCATGCCACCACTCTACATTGTGCATATTATTGTGCAAGCCATGCAGTGGGCTCCATTGAAATGAAGGGGTAAACCTGAGAAACTGAAATCCTTGTATTCAGCAGTCACCTCCATGAGGAACAGTTGAATTAGGATATCTGCTATGCAAGTATAATTTGTATAATATCTATGAATTAATCTAGTCAGATGTTAATGGTGCTACCTCCCCCTAACATACCTCTTCCCTTTTTTATTTGATTTTGGCTTGGAGGACTTTTACACCTATTCCCACAGCTCTTTGAAACTACCTTCTGTTAGTTTACTAGTCTAACCTTCATTTTGCTCAGAATGTTGTTATTCCATTTGCCCTGACAACAATGGCTATTTTTTTCCCATGCTTTAAAGCCAGACTCATTCCCAATAAATATAAATAAAAAATAAAAATAATTTCTACAGTGTCTCTGTATCTGTTCATTCTGCAGCTGCTGGTGCAACTTTCCCTTATTACTGTTAGATCTCCATACCTTCCTTTCCCTGTTTCTATTGCTTGCTTTCTTTGCATATTAATAAATACAGAATGGCAATTATGGCAATCTTAGGGCTTACGCTACTTGCTCCAATTCATAGGGGATTCATAGGCAGCAAAAAAAAGGGGACACCCTACTCCTGCTTTAGTGAAAAATGAGTCCAACTCATGAGCTTCGTCAACATCATGAGTAACGGGGTTTGTTGTGTATCTTGATGGAAGTCCATGTGGAGAACAATGGACTCAGGGAACAATAACAAAAAGCTTATTAGCTGCACAACATTTTTAACCGTCATAAAGACAAAGTACTCTGAGGTTTGCCAAAGACAGCATAATCCTATCCTACAGGATGCCAAATTCAATTGCAGCTCTTCAATGCACTGTGGTACACTCGCAGATGCATTTGAGGCTTATTTGCAGTAGAACGCATTGGCTCAGTAACTTGGCTTTGTGATCACAGCCAAACTGGTTCTGTTGCTCAACAGACCACTTACAGAGGGGTCCTGCTGGTTGGGTGCTTGTACTGTTTTAGTAACACACCACGATGGGCACTGGAAGCAAGAAAGGAGCATGATCTCTACAATCTCTTGATTGTCAAAAACACTGTTGAGCTTCTGACTTTTTTTTCCCAGTGTCATCCTCTACTACACCATCTTTAGTAGGTATTATTTAATACAGTTTGTGTTTGTCTCTGTATAGGCTGATTGAATGCTTAATCCTCCAGCACTGTGAACTCATCAGCTTTCCAGAAGTAAGAAATGTGCAGCAGCACAAATTCAGCAATGCAACATTCTACCTAATTGAAGCCAGTGGGCACTTGGGTATGCACGGTTTAATAACAGATTGCCTAGCATCTTGGCAGCTGAACTGCGAGTTGCCAGTATTGAAAAGCTGAGAATCTGAGACGTCAGGCAATTAAGCTGTCTGGGTGCTCTTCAGGCAGCAGTTTTGCAGAAGGATACCACCTTCCTGATGATGCTGTTTCATGTGTGAATGAGCAGCAAGTAGCCTCCTGGCATGGAGTCTGACTGCAGAAAGATAATAGTACAGTTCAACTTGAAGCTAGGGACAAGATGGAGCAATGTGCTGTCTAATTAAACATGAATACAAAGATGGTTCCAGTCAGTGAGTCATAAATGTTAATGGGACTTGTAAGCATAAATCACTTGTGAGCCAAACTAGGAACTAATCCCATAAATTCCACACTTAAATATTCTTGATGTTGGCCAAGGTTGCAGAGGCCTCCCATTCCCCCTGTACCCCTTCCCAGCACTGGCATAATTAGTTTCTGTACACACTTTTGTAGTAATTGGCGAGAAGGAGCCCCATTCACTAGCCTAGATAAACCAGAGAGCATGTTTTTCTGGACGTAGCTCTGCCTGCTGTACGCTGTTGTATTACAACTGCATAAGGCTTACAGCTCCAGCAGGGGGGCTAACTGTGGAATGAGGGCAATGATTATTCCATCTGTTCCTGCAGAGCTGAGGCCAGGGAGGAGGGGAGGGGTGGCGGTGGCAGGGGGATCAGGAAAAAGAATCTGTCACACAGGTGTCTCTGGAAGAGACTCTCTTTCCCAGGTGCTGAGGGAAAACGCATACGTGTGCCTTCTCTCTCACACACAAATACCAGCCTTATTGTTGAATCGCTGGAGCATTTTGAATCACCCAATGCTGAATTAGCACTACCAGGCATAATTGCAGAACAGAAAGGAAACAGGAGTTTCTGATGTGATTTTCTTGTTTAGGTCCACCTTCTGTTGGCTTCAACGTTTGGCCTTAGCGAGGGAAAGAATTTTGAACAGAATGGCAGCAGCAGAAAACGAAGGGGGTACGGAAACGTGCTGAGTGTGTGTGCCTCCCACAGTCCTGGAATTGCAATGGACACAGGGAAGTGAACCACAGGGAGAGATCACTTTTCCCAGCCCCTTTCTTACTGAAAGTGATACTTCTGAAGCTGCTATTTGTAACAAGAAAAATATGGACATGTCCATTAGAGTGGGTGTGCATATAAAGTATAACTGAACTTCAGGGTCTACGGGCAGTCCCTTTTCCCAGATTCATGCATCCCTTCCTTCAGGTCGGTTGAACTTTGTCCATTCTGGCCTTCAACCACACATTTTGTGGTAGGTTTCTCAAATCCCAACCCAGCAATGTTACTTGTCTTTTACAGTTGTTGAATTCCATCCACTTGCATTCAAAGGCTGGTGAGTTTCCCCCAAAGTTCCCAGTAGACCAGATGACATTAGAGGCATGGGATTAGGGAAGAGGACCATTACCCTTTCTCCAGTGCTCTGCCTCCTCCCAGCTGTCTTCCTTTGCTCAGACACATTAGCCAGAATTACTCCAAATCACTTTCTTGAGTAGAGGAAGATAGTTGCCTTCTTCACTCAGATCAAGAAAGGAAGAAATAATTTGTGCCACTTTCTCATCCCTAAGTGTGCCCAAAACTCTATGGGATCTCACCAATATGGAATAAAATGGAAGGATTACTTCCCATGATTTATAAATATAGAATTACAGTACTGTAGAGTGGAAAGTATAGAAGGATCAGGAGCATCTAGTCCAACCTTCTACAATATGCTGGAAAACCCATTAAACTTTCCATGAGAGGTGGCTGATCAGCCTCTTTTTAAAAACCTCCAGAGAGAGAACCCACAGCCTCCATAGGTAGATTATTCCACTCTTTTATAGATCTTACCATCAGGAAGTTTTTTCCTTACATTTACAGGTAGTCTTCAAGTTATGACCACTCGTTCAGTGACCATTCAAAATTACAACAGCACTGAATGAGGGGGACTTACAACTGGTCCACAAAGTCGCAGCTGTCACAGTATCCCTGCGGTCACATGATCATGTTGAGCATCTGGCTCACAATTATGACATGGCTCACAATTACGACATGGCTCACAATTACACAAATGGCAATCACATGACCACAGTGAGCCATGGTCATGT